TGTTTTTCTAGATAGCAGCCTGATTTGCTCGTGCTAAGGCACTCATTGGTTGTTTCAGTCGGGAGTGCTGATTGGGTCCACTCTAGCCACTCTTTATCTGTTTAAGTCAGAGGTCCCTAAACTGTGGGGCATGCCCCCTAGGGAGGCATGGAGGAACGTTGGGGGGGAGGGTGCGACTGGGGTCAGGGTCAGGGTCAGCCACCCCGTAGGGGCGGGGAGGGAGCGTCACCCAGCTCTGCTTCTGGCTCAGGTCCCGGTTGCCGGCCTCCTTGCTCCTGTCTGGGTTCCCCACCCACCCACCCAGAGCCGGCTCCCAGGGGGGAGAGAAGGGGAGAGGTAAAAAGTCAGGGGACCACTGGTTTAAGGTTTACCCATATGTTCCTATGATTAAAATATGAGGGCTGTTAAAGCTGACCGATCCCTCAACTGGTGAACCTCTTTGGTTTGCCAACTGAGTCTTCTCTGCTCCTTGCACTAACCCTCAGTCAGCAACGTAACCCATGTTACCTCTGAAATGCCCCCTGCTTCTGGTCTTCATTTTCACCACTACACCTCTACCCCGATATAACGCGGTCCTCGGGAGCCAAAAATCCCTACCGCGTTATAGGTGAAGCCCTGTTATATCGGGGTAGCGGCGGCAGGGCTCCAGCAGTGATTTAAAGAGCCCGGGGCTCCGGGCGTGGTGAGCTCGGGCCCTTTAAATCGCCACCCGAGCCCCGCTGCCGGAGCCCCGGGGTTACCGTGCTATATGCGAACCAGTGTTATATTGGGTCGCATTATATCGGGATAGAGGTGTAGATGATTCATCTGTGACTCACCAGAGGAGGCTTCATTCTGACTCCTCTCCATAACCTCCCAGTGTCCTGCTAATTCTGGCTGTCCTCTGTTCTAGCGCTGCTGTGCCTTAGTTGGTGCCTAGCTGATTTCCTGGTTGAGTCTCTTGTTTTGACAAACGACAGCTGGTTTATCAGTATTGGTGAGCAATACCCATGGATGATTGCTGTCTGGCATTGCAGCAAGAGGAGCAGCATGAGTCGCTATGCTCCTCACAGCTTCTTGGCTTCCAGCTCTTCTTCCAAATCTAACTGGGCATAGATGACACTTGAGTTGACAGTGCATCAGATGTGCCAGTTTGAGACTCAGTCAACTGGACTCAGGGCATACCGTAGATATTTCAGTAGAAAGCTGCAGTTATTGTTATCTTGTGAGGTGCTTTTCAATCAGTTCAGGTGGAAAAGTTAGCTTAATTTTCTTGCGTGGGCAGAGCCTTACATTTTCCTTCAAAGCCAAATAATCCTACTTTCTTAAAAGCCTTATAATTTCTGCTGACTGCAGCTGACTCGCACTGGTGAGAGTAGCTCTACTGGTTTCCTTTCTGTCAGTGCTAAACCTTTGGTACCCTGTTCATAACAGTTATTCATTATTGACTTAGCAGATGTTTCTACATTCAACTGAATACTGGAAGGAAAAATTCTTCCCGTTTGCAGAAGTTTTGGGATAAGACAGAATAAATTGTTTTCCCTTTTATGCCATTTCTACTATGCACTTGTTCAGGGTGAGTTATGTGAATTTGGCCAGTTTTTGTAGTGCTCATAAAAACAGGATTGATAGTGCTGCCTAAAAGCAGATGCTAGGGCCTTGCACAGTCCTGTTATACACCGTGGTATTAAATGACCCCACTCTAGTACTCCATCCCTAGTATCACTGTAACAGAAATTGCCAGTTGCAGAGTATGTGTGCAGGTAATTACCTGGTCATTTGCTTCTGGGATGTCTCAGGAGTGTAGGATGATAGTGAGAGGAAGAAACCGTGTTATACACCCTATTAACAGGAGTATACTTTTCTAGTTTTTAATATTTAGGTAAATTATGACAAGCTTTAGAGTAAAACCTCTTTATCAGTAGTCTTCAATGGTGTTTTGACATATGTCAAAAACTTAATCCGCAGTGAAGCCTTGAGATTCCAGCAAGTGTGGGAGACTTCAAGGGTCCATCAAAATCTTTTAACACTGTAAAAATTGTAACTCTTTAAATATACCATAGGTTAACAAACTACTTGTTTCAATTGTGGTTTATTGATTTAACCTAACATAGCATGGCGGCAGAAGTCTGTAGTACTGACATGGCCTAAGTCACTTTTAACCTAAAACTAGAAATTCTACTAATTGACTCTATTCACAGCATCTTGGGCCTGTAGCCAGCTGAGTAAAAACATAGAGGCAAATAAACTGAATGTGGGGTAGGGTTCTGAGGGGAAGCTGTTTAAACATCTTTACTGGGGGGAAAAAATAGATACAGCAAGTGCAGTTTCTTAAGGTGCCAAACTACAAGTTTTTTTTTCCGAAACAACTTTTGTACAAAGAAAAGCCTGCATTCCATTTATCTGGATTTCTTACAAGAGTAAGTTACCAATGTGGCACATTACATTCTATAAAATGTTCCCAAATGTGCATAAGGTTGCCTAATGCTTTCTATTTTCAAATCCTGCTTTCAGCTGCTTGTAACTATGCCAAAAGTCAACTGTTTGGGCTGAATTTTCCATGATAGGTGTCTAACTCAGGCTGAACTTTTTGGGAAAGTTTCAGTTAAAATGGTACAGTACAGCCATTTCTTAGACTAAAGCCAAGGAAAATTTTTTTTGCCCACATTAGTGACAGAATAAGACCTTTTTAAAAAAAAAAGTTCTACCACATTTTGGCAAGGACATTGGAGGTCACCCAGGTGCTAGGGATGTTCCTTTTGCTAATCCCATGAAGGCCTATTCGCCAAGTTGCAAGCCTCTGAGAATCTGAAGTTCACTATGCTCGCTGGAGGTGTGTTAGAGACTGGAAGCTAAATTCCCAAAAGATTCTCAGCACTGAGCATGCTACCTCTCCAAACAGCTGCTGTGTGTCAGTCAGACTGTGCATTTACTAATACCCACAGAGCGACTGAGTATGCTTTGTCTTGGGCTGCAGGTGCTGAGCAGGACTTTATCTGCAGTTGCTCCTTCTAGCAGCTTGGAGGTATGGGGACCATTGTGATCCTATTGGGATCCAGGAAGTGGGTGGGCAGAAGCACGCCCACTGCTAAAGGACCTCCCCCCAGCCTAAGGGGAGGATCCACAGGACCTGGAAACCAAGTGATTCTGGGGGACAACTAATGAGATAACAGGGACAGGAGTGAGGTCAAAGGGTCAAATGAAGGGAACCTGACGGGACACCGAGCAGAGAACCCCGGACAGCGCCCACTGCTCCTCGAAGACGTCAAGGGAGCCAGTGAATGCCGCCCAGAGGAACTCTGCCTGGATGCGTGAATGGACGGAGGATCGGAAATAGGCCCCACAGTCACCAGGCAGCAGAACTGAGAGCAGGGAGACTTTCTCCTTTGCTCCTGCTGCTGGTGCCCAGGCAATGTGGAAGAGGAAGCAGCTGACCATGAATGAATTGGGGGGTGAGGTGGCTGAGACACAACTGGCAGTGGGTGGATAGGAGCAGAGAGGTACAGACAGGCTTGAGGGATGGTACAAAAGAGTTTATGGCCCGTAAAGAACACTCCCCTCCAGAAAGTGCAATTGAATCCAGGTTCATCATGTCAGCAGGTGTCTGGGAAAGCCACTAGCAAAGTGTGTCTCATCCCCCTCTAGTCACTGGCTCACTTGGAGGGTGCTACCAGTTACTCATTTAGTTCAAATAGTTCCAAACCTGCTGCTTAATTCATGTGGGCGTCTGTATGGTTCTGCATGATAGGTATTTTTTCCCTACTTATTTTTTAAAAAATGAAGAAATATAAAAACTATATTAAAAAAAAAAATTACAGTTGCCAAGCCAAGTCCTCAAAGGTTAGGAAATACCAGTATTGTGGCTGCTCATGCAGCTTCAGTTTGGCCCCCATGTGAATGTGTATTATGATAGTATTTAATCATATAATTAAAGACTGTTTTTTCCCTCATACAGTGCACGGCATGACTGGTGCACTGAGCATGGTTTAATTTAGGCTTCTGTAGTGAATAAAGGTGTCTGTAGGACCCCTACCTCATTTGTTGCAGAGGTGTTCTGTGGACAGGGCAAGGAATGGCAGGAAGAGAAAGGATGCTTTTGTGGTCAAGGTACTTAAATGCCACCCTGGAGAAATGGATTCTATTTGTGCCTCTGCCACAGAGTTGCTATGTGATGCTAGTTAGGTCACTTGCCAGAATTTTCACTTGTGGCCACTAGTTGTGTTCTTCATTTTCTGGGCACCTAATTCAAGACACCTGGGGCCAGATTTACAGAAGTGCCGAGTGCTTAAACTGCAGGTGGCGTTAATTGGAGCTATTCATTGAACATAAGAAATAATAAAAATGCTAAATATTCTGAAAAATCAAGCCATAGATATCTTAAATTGGGAACTCAAAAGTAATGGGCACTTTCGAAGATTTTGGCCTTAGTTGGTATGCCTCTGTTCTCCCACTGTAAAATGCAGTGGTATCAGTTCATCTTTCAGGGATTTTGTGAAGATGATATTGTGTGTGTAGCACTTGAATACTAGTCAGAGTACCACAGAAAAGATCATGGGGAAATTCATAATTTTGTATTCAGTGTGGGGTTTGGATGGTGTCTGCTAAAAAGGCCTGGGTCGCACATTGAATGAGAAACAAATTTAAAGAGCCCATCTATCCTGTTCACAAAGAGGTGATGGTCATGTTGGAAAAAAATTGTGATCATGGACTAAGACTGCATTGTAATCATAGGCTCCAGGAAGCCAAATTATGGTTGTACGGATTTAGTGTAGTCTGTACTATGAAGGAATAAACATTTGGTTTTTTTAAATCAAATTATAAGCAATTCTGTAGACTATTAAAATGATTGTTGATCAAATGTAAGTAACTTTACATTTTTCCTCCCCTTGCTTTGTGTTCTGCTGCGTGCTGCTGGACCTGACATTGCAATGCTTGGAATTCATCACTTTTTACTGTTACCCTTGGATCTACTCTCTCAATATCTGGAACACTGGAATGATGGAAATATGTTGTTTACAAAGTAGCTGTGAGTATCATTACTTTTACAATTACACTTAGACTAAAAAAAGTGTTGGTTTGTTTAGAGTAACTGTTGAACTAAAACTTTACAGAATACAGTTGGATGAAAATCAAGCTAAGGATAAAAACATTAAGCTACTGTAGGTATTTAAAACTTGATGTTCTGACCTGCTATAATGATTCACAGTGTGGAAGTAAATCAATGAAATAGTAGCAAAAACAGCTTTAAAAAACCATTTGAGGAATTTAAAAGCTAAGAATTTAGTAAATTGCTGGAAAATAAAAAGTGGAATGGGATTAATCATGATTTAAATCAGCAAGCAGGAAACTATGATTTAAACTTGATTTTTATCATTTTACATTTGGTTATTTTCCTGAAGAGAAGTTCATTCTCATTAATGTGTGTAACCATATTATGTTGATTTATAATGAACATTGTACTAAATTTGGTACTACTTTTTGCTAACCAGGAGTATATGCTGCATCTGTACACTTACTTAAGCAATTATATAGTGAAGTAAAAGTTTCTCCAAAGCAATGGCTCATCAGGCTGATGCAGTTTAAGGCATGTCAGTTTCATAGCCAGTGGTACACAAGATAGTGATGTGGCCAGCATTATGCCTCACTGTCTTTGACTGCCCTAACCTGACGGGTCAGGTACCCGTTTTACAACTGTGTGAACTGGAGGTTACTTTCTAGTGTGAGAACGAGCAAGATGCGAACCCATGAAGTTGAGGATTGTAGTTAAGCACCTTAACCACTCAGTCATTGCAGCTCAATCAGTTATATAGTTTAACATAGGTTTATTCAGATATTTATTTTTGTTTTATTATGCTCGAAAATGGTGAATGAAGTATTTCTTTAGTAATTTTTTCTCAGCATTTGTCAAGCTGCATTTGGATTGAAATTGGAATTCAATAAAAATGCACAAAACCAGCATTTTAAAGTTTTTGTTAAATAAAACTACCTTAGTGTAATGGATACATAAGAAATTTAGGAAAAAACTACCAAGACATGTTTTGCATTTAAAACTCACTAAATTTACAGGTATTTCTGGTCACTATGTGACCAGACTTTTCAAAGGTGTTTAGGTGCCCTATTTAGGTGCCTAATCTGCTTGGGCACTTTTGGAAATCCCATTAGATATCTATATATCCTTTGCAAATCTGGTCTTGTGTCACTTAGGTTTTTAGAACTGGTAGATCTCATCCTCTCACCTAGTTTTTAATTCATAGTTGCAAGAGGAAAACTTCTCAACTTTGAACTAGTTGAGGTGAAGGAAATATTCTTTGCATCTCCAACTAAATTGAAACAAAAAATAATGAATGCAAAAGCTTTCACAACTAACTGAAAGTATTTACATTTGGAAAAATATAAATACCAAAATTCACTCCATTTTAAAGGCTGAAAATAATATTTTAATACAGTCAGTCATGGTGTGCTATACCTAGAAAGCTTGAGATAACCTCAAAAGTTAGATATTCCCTTCCCTCCATTCTTTGTGTAATGAAAAAAGCAGCACTGTTTAATTCATTAAAAAGAGGTCTCATTGATGCAGCATATCTTTAAATGATTGTAATAGATTATGGATAGGTTTATTTTTAAAAAGAAATGTATATAGTTTAAATAACTCTTTAACCACACTGATTAAAAAGAGAACACTGCATCTAATCAAAGCAAAACTTGTAGAGTAACTGGTTTTTAAAGTAATTTATTCGTCCTGAGGTTCAGGATGTGTATGAGGAAAGGTTTTTTTTTCTTGTTACAGTAATGATATCACAGCAACACTTTTTTACTGAGTACAGACAGTACTAATGAAGACACAAGTGTGAAATGTACTATAGAAAAGCTTTTAACTTATGTTCTCTTTAAAATATATATATGAAAAAGCATTTTCCTAAAATGAAAACTGATGGGTCATAGAACATAGTAATGGCTACTGACTTTAACCACTTCAGTTTAAAAAAAACAAACCACATGCATATTATTATTTTACAAAATGTCTGCTGCACATGCACTGAGGCGAAAGATTTTTAGCCTAGGGTCTTAGTGCAAAAGCATGGCAAGGCTAACAACATAGAACTGCTCTGAACTACATTAATTTGCAACTGTTAGTAAAAATATTGTGCACAATGTACTTGCAAGATAATGTAGATTAGGGGCTCAATCCTGTTCTTTCACGCAATTTAATTGTGGATTTATAGCTCAAAAGGGGAAAGGGAAACTGAAAAAATAACCCTTGCAGCATGACCTGAAATCAACAGATCTGGGCTCTGTTGGAGCAAATGAGGAAGTGGGTTCTAGTATTGAGGACCTGTCACTGAAAAATCCATCATGAGCTTCTTCCCATTTAAATCGGGAAGCTCTATGCTGCGCATATTCACTTTTCTAGTTGTTTTTGTTCTCAGGTATTGAAGACAATATTACTCTCTAATCCACTGGTGATTCAGAAAAGTGGTAGTCCGTAATAGACCAATATAGGTTGTTTTTAATTTTTGGGGGAACACAAGATTCCTCCACTCTCTATGGGAAATTACTGTTCCACCTAGGGTTTCTTCATAGCAGCAGGGCTGTCAAAGACTTTTTCACTGTGTGGTATGTAGAAGCTTTATTTGTCCTGGTCCTAGTGGGAGTGGGGTTGGGATCAAGCAACTTCTCCTCTACAGTATAGCATAGGGGTGAACACAGCAGCTTACCATCAAAGTGTAACACCCCCACCCCCAGCACAGTGTGATGGAACAGGCTCTCAGGCGCTCTCCCCCCCCCCCCCCCCCCGTGAGAGAAACAGTTTAAAACTTGACATAAAGGATGAAACTAAACTTTCTGTTCCTTAAAAACAAGCCCCACCCCTCACACATCTGAAATGAACAGTCCTAAGGTTCCCTTAAAGCAACAGCAGGAGATACCAGCCATGTGGGTATTACTGGTTCTCAATCAGTGGTTCTCAACCTATTTACCATTGTGGGCCTCATATGCAGCTCTCTGTGTTACATGGACTGCACCCACTCAATATATATATATACTACCTGTATGGCCCTTAGGATGTCACATGGGTCACAGCTGTGTGCCGATTGGGCTGCAAGTGGCCAGTGGGTTGAAAACCACTGATCTAGTTTGAAGAAGGGGTAGGATTAAGCACCTGCAAAAGCCTTTATTAATAGGTGGCAAAATAGGCACTGACAACACCCACATCCTTCCCAACTCTCCCTACAAAAGGCATCCTTCTGAACTACTGGTGAGGAAATGGAGATTTATGTCACATCTACAGTAGGTTTTTTTTGTACCAGTACAATCGCACTGAACTAGCTGCACTAGTGATGATCCCATGTAGAAGTGGTGCACTGGTGTGACTTGCCTCAGTTTCGGATTGGGCTAAATTGCACCAATGCAAAGGCATATCTATACTAGGAGTGCTTTGCTGATCTACTTTACCTGTATTCCTATATCAGTAAAGTGCTGGTAGTGTGGATGCAGATATACTGATACAAAGTGCAGTTTTGCCAGTCTCATACCACCCCCCACAAGCAAAATATTTTGTACCATTAAAAGTGCATCTTTTCTGGTATAACTGCATCCACAGTAGGGACTTCTGTTGACAGTTATTTCAGTCAGGGATCACACCTCTTCACACTCGATCAACATAACATGACGGCAGAAGTCTATAGTGCTGACATGGCCTAAGTCACTTTTTATATTGTTGCAGTGCCATGTATACTGGGAGTTTGCACCAGTACCACCACAATGGTATAGCTATAATTATGCAAAATACCATTGTAGACAATGGCTGGCTATCCCCCACTCCAGTCTTCTGCCTGGTGCTGCAGTTTACTAAATTGTCTACAATTTAATGAATAAACATCTTGATTTAAATCAGGATTGGCATAACAGTTGTACAGATGTTAAAAGCTAATGAAGATTAGTCTGAAGTGTATTAAAAAATTACAAGCATTTCTTTTGACTATTTAAATGTCTTTGTTTTTGTATTAGCAACAGAAGAACCTTGAAGGATATGTGGGGTTTGCAAATCTCCCAAATCAAGTTTACAGAAAGTCTGTGAAGAGAGGGTTTGAATTCACGCTCATGGTAGTAGGTGAGTTGTTTTCTTTATGCATCTAATTGGTGATTCACCTTCCCCAAAAGAATTTGGAGTAACTGAAGTTTCAGCTATTCATGTGTTTACCTCATTTGTGAAAGCTAATTAGAATGTATATTATACTTACCATTTTTGTTTTTTAAAATGTTAAATTCTAAAGTGTTTTTTAAGGGCATACCGTACAGTTGAACATTCATTTTTTTTTGTCTTCTGTTACATAGGCAGATGAATAGGGATAGAAAATGGGGAAGATAAAGAGCCTTCAGCAGAGAGGGGGTGTTGTGCTAGCCTATGCAGAAACATTAATGTAGATCTACTGAAAAGTGTCTGCAAACATGATGTAGTGGAAGTCATTGAGGTCTAGAGCTCAGCATCATATGTGTTCAGTCTAAAAGTAAAAATGTTTTTTAGTTGTCAATGGAACAGTTTCAGCTGGGGATCTGAAAGTCTAGCTGGATTCCTTCCTTCTTGCACATCCAGTAATCAGGACCCTGTGTATCCTGTGTTTGTGGCACCAAAATTTTGCTACAGAATCCAAGCCTTCATGTAAAGAAACATTTATAGTTTGCATGATGGCAAACAAAAACAAATACTGTCTAAGCTGTTTTTTCCAGTGACTTCAGAGATCTTGAAACAACCACAGATACGTGTGGCTAATCCTGCTCATTACAGTGGGATGGTAAAATTAACAGTTGGTCTTCGGCATACGAGTTAACTTTGTTGGTCACTTTAAATGGATGTTTCTGCTAATGAGTTTATCCCATAATGCTAAATTACCATCCATGCTGTTTGGGTGTCAAACTTTCATTTTCCCCCTGACTACATGTATGATGTAGCTGTGTGATCAAAGTTGAAATATCTGCAGTACGTTGGAAACTAAATATGAGGCTAGTGTAAAGCTGGGGTTTTTTTTAAAGATCAAAAAAAAAAAAAATAAAACAAGGAGTGCTGTACTGATTCTATTTTAATGTTTATATAAAAATCCCAGTTTGTGAATTTAAATGACGCTGCCTCACAACAGGTAGTTTGCTACAGAAACCATTGACCATGCCCCACTGCTTTGTTAATTTGATGAAAGATAGTGTTACTTTTCTGCTGTTTAGATTTGAACCAAATTGCTGTCTTAACTGTTGGATGTGTAACCGAGTTAACAGGGCAGGTACATTTAAAAAAAAAAAAAAAAGTATGCTTTAGTGACAGGTAGCTGTTCAGTCCTGCCCTCATTCCTTGAACTTGAAATCCTGAAGTGGATCAAAAACTACTTAGCTTGTTTGGATTTTGCTCATGTTTTTGTAACTTTGTGATGAACAATGTAATGAGTACAAATTTTAAAATGGGCGCATCCTGTAATTGCCAACTGTCCTTGTTCATCAATACATCCATCTAACTTGTAGCTTGGTTAACCAATAAGTGTCTCAGTATTATGTAATCAATTGAACTGATAGCTTGTGTAATCACTGTGTCCCTATAAGAGAATGTGCACAAGTATAGTACCCAATGGTTGAGTTACAAATCTAGGTCAAATTGGATCTAACGCATTACAAATCACTGTTCAGGGAAATGAAGAATGTGAGTTGGAATAAAACAATTTGAGTTTGGGGCTTATTTAAAAGTTCCATTATAAACATGCATTCAGCTGCATAACTTGTCATGAAGCACAAAACCCCATTTGGTCTTAGCCCTCTACCAACCAAAAATTTATTCATTTTTCAACATGTAAAAGTTAGGAATCATGCTGTCCTTAAACAAGGATGAGTTCAGAAAATAATCACACTATACAGAGACTGTCTTCATAAGTTTGTAGTTGCTGAGAGGTGAAAATTGGCAAATTCATTTAATAAAATGGGATATGCTTATTCTATAGTCACTATTTTAAAACCATAACTTTTAAATCTCATGGAAAACAAATCTCTAAGAACCAGCAAGCTGTACTTTGTTAGTATCTATCTCTATTCCTCATGACTTGAAATCTTCAGCATCTAAAGCAGTTTTCAGTGCAGATGCATTCAGAGGAGTGTTAAAAAAATATTGGTGGTTAGTTAGGAAACTTTAATCTAAAAATTAGATTTGCAATAGGTGGTTGACCTGAAAACTAAGAAGTGAAGCCTTGCAATTACTGACTTTGTTTTTAGTATCAAATCTTTGTACTTCCTAGTATGGATTCACATTCCATTCTGGCAAATGATCAGAACTTCCATTGGCAGGAAGTTAATACATTATTGTGCACAGACCATAAGTGCTCTCTGAAAATTTGAATGATTTCCCTGATGAGAGGTCATTAAAAAAAATTACCAGGTGTTTCATAGACTTAACTTAGTCTGAATGTCAGAAGTTGGTCTTTGATTGGATGAACATATTCCCTATAACACTAGGTCAGTATTTAATGTGGAATAGTACACAAACCCATATGGTACAGCTACAGCATATTTTTCACTTTATTTCCTGCCATGTTTGACTCACTGTAGTAGAAAACAATTAGAGCCTTTTAAAAGAGAGACTGCTGAAACAGAATGTTTTAATTTTTTTTTAACAATAGAATAGGAGGTTTTTAGACAAGTGGTAGTAGAAAGGTAAAGCTTAATTTTTTTTCAACAGTTCTAGTCACAGATAAAATTAGGAATACTTAACTACTTTAAGTGTTGTTGTAACAATTGTGAAATGTATTAAGCCTTTTAAATAGAATATGGGGTGGAGAGGAATTCATTCTGAGATTTCCAAGCAATGCATTTGGAAAGCTTTTGATTTAAGAGAGAAATTCCCCTGGATCTTCCAAATATGAAGGATTCCAAGTATCTGTTTTAAACATAAAGATGATTATGAATCTATTGCAACATCTCATTTTGTTTTATAACTCAGCTATGACAGACTCCAATAATCTTGAAATATGGATTGTCACTTATTTTTGTACACTGTCTAGTACAGGGGAGCACTGACTTGATTTGAAGCATCTAGTCATTACCACAATGTAAATGATTAATAGTAAAGAAGAAACTCTATCAATGGAATATGTTGGACTAATATAAGATTCTGAAACTTGAGCAACTCACGTTACTAGCATATATTTAGATTTGTTTGTGGCCGAGTATTAGCTGATACATTTGGAAAAGATAGTGTATATGCTGCATAATGTTGTCTTATTGTTTAGAATGGCCCTTTGGAAGCTTAACTAAAATATTTCCTAATTTTTTCCTCCCTCATGGATGCATGCTGATTTGTTACCGTGGGGTTCCACATAAGTGCTGGCCTGCTGGCTATATTTTATTTATAGATGCTTCAAAGTCAGTGTATTATCCATTTGTTCTGGAGTGAAAAATGCAATGTGGAATTGCCAAACAGATACAGGGACATAAAGTAGGTCATGTTTGGGGCTTGCAAACCTTGAGTGTCTAATGACATATTTTCATATGTTCTATAGATTTGAAATCATAGATTGCAATTTCCTGTTAAAATTATTTTCCAATTGTTCAGATAGTCTGGAATGAATTGTTAATCTTATAAATCTGATCTCCTCACCAAGGTAGTTTAAAGCTAATCATTTTTCAATATTAACTACATTATTTTGAGGAAGAAGAGCAAATGTTTCAGGTGTTTGGTAGCTAGGTTAGTTTCTGATTGATTGTGTGGTAGAAAAGATCCACGGCTCAGTTTAACTGCATGTGATATGTCAAGTTGTCATACATCCAAAATGCAGGACATTTAAAAATAAACTAAATCACTATATACTAACGATCTTAAACTCCATTTGCCCAGCGTGGGTAGGAATCTTTTGCTAAGTGAGTGCTATCAACTTCTGCAGAATCTCACCTTTCATCTAAAATTTTGGCATGCTTACAATTGTAAAGAAAACCTTCCAAATATGAACTGAGTATAAACTGTGAAGTGATGTCATCATAAACCTGCAAAGTTAGCTCTGTTGTCAGGATGATGGAGCTGTCACTCCTGTGTGGGAGCTCTTAATTGCTGGCTGCTGTTGGAATGGTTGTACACATGGGGCGTGCAGAGGCACTGAGTGTTAGGTTTAGGGTCCCCTGCTCTCTTGCATCTCCTAAAACGGGATGCCTGCGGGCTCCCCAGTTTTCCCATCAAAGGGGTCTGTAATCACTTATTTAAGGTGAGACAATCTACACTTAAGTGTTTTGGGAGAACTTTCAGCATTAATTTATTTGTGGGAGAGGTAGCATACATTGTTTGGGGGATGAGGGGGGGGAAGAGTGCAGAAAAGTGGCCCACCACTGTTTGGTTTATTGGAGATAGTATTAATTTCTTGTGTACATGTTGGTGGAAAAATTAATTGATATCAGTGCTTGCATCTCCAATTCAATGCCTGACCCTACAAAGAGTTTGGCCAGCAGGAGAGTGAGATCTTTAGGCCCAATCAGCAGGACATACTTGACTGGGTAGGTGTAAATTGGGAGGGACATGGCTTAAGACACTGGTGTATTTCAGCTAGGAGAGTGGGTTTAATTATTGGGCATCTTGGTGGTAAAACATTTTTAAATTCTGTAAGTGTGGAATCAATTTCTTTGAGGTTACAGAACATATTGCATTAAAATATGTAAATGTGCGGTAATTGAGAATAACTTCATCCCATAAATGGTAATTTTTACTATAAAGTGTATATATGATTAGAAAGTAGGGTCTGTGTAAGCTTTTCACATTCTACTATTTTAGTGACATTTTAAAATTAAATAGAATTATTTATATACTTACAAGAAGTCATTATTTTTTTAAATTGTATTTGGCCTCAGTTAACATTAATAGGTTGACAAGTTATTTGAAACTTACCTGTATTTTCCCAATAAGTACAATTGCATTGTTTCCTTTTAGAGTAGTTCTAAAAACATTTAATTATAAGCTACACCAAAGTAACCCAAATTGTTCTCCTTAATTGACCACTTGCATTTGAAATTTGTTCTGAAATTAAAGCATCTGTGTGGAAAACTAGGGGAAAAAAATTGAGGTGATATCTATGCTATCCTATTCTAATCCTGCAAGGT